AGAGGGGCGCCGCGAGGCGCCCGCTGGCTTTCACCGAAAATTTACTTGCGAGGGCGAACTGGCCTAGGCGCCAAAGGCGCATTTTCTTGACCGATGCCACTTCATAAAGTGCGCACACGAGGCACATGAACTGCATTTCGGGGTGCTGGAACATGAGATGGGGGTGGGGAGGGCATTTCCCGGGGCCCCAGGGGCCGCGAGGGGGCGCGGTTACCTCCAAAGGGGGCGCCTGAAAGGGGTCCGCCGGCACCTACAATTGGCACACAGGAAACATTTACAGATTTCTAGGGACACAGTTGCGCGGTGGAACGGGGGGTCTTAGGCTAGGGGGCGCCATCAGGCCCTGAGGGGGCGCCGAAATGCTGGATTGGGGGCGCCCTCCGGCCGGAAGGGGGCGCCGACATGCCGGATGGGGGTGCCCTCCGGGGGGAAGGGGGTGCCGATACGCCGGATGGGGTGCCCTCCGGGGGAAGGGGGCGCCGACTTGCCGGTTTAGGGGCGCCCTCCCTACCGGCAGGAAGGCGGCGCCGTCAGGTCTGGCGGACGCCATCCGGCCGGAAAGGGGCGTCGTCAGGTCGGGCGGGGGCGCTGTCAGAGTCAGGCGCGGCGGAACGGGGCGCCCTTTTTCCGTAAGGCGCCTTAAGCCAGCGCGTGGCACCGAATGCGCTCTCCCTAAATTTCGCCCATGATCTTCACAAATTAATGAAGCGCAAATCCTTATAAAGTCGAACTTTCTATCATAAAATTCATAAAAAAAACTCTCGCTCGCTTCGCTCGCGTTCTCCTACGATCAATCAGTCTAGAAATGCTCCTAATACCAAATCGAATGATCGGAAGACGACCATATTTGGGGCCTGCAGGTTGGTGGCTAGAACCACCCTGGCTGACGATACCATACGAGATTTGGAAACAGTGCCTCGAGAGCTGACTCTGACTAGCATGGCGCAATACCTCTTAAAACCGCACTTTTTGACTTGTGAAATCAAAAAATAAATTGGCGCTCGCTTCGCTCGCGGTTAGAGGTAATAGATGCTTCTTGTCATCCTTTCAAAGACCAAAGCTTTTAGGTATGAGTTATGAGTATAAATTCTGTCTGGTCAACATGCAACTCTGCACGTCCAACAGTCTCTTAAGTTTCAATAAATATGGACAAGGCGCCCTCAGGCTTGCCCCCCCCCCTGGTTCAAAAACGTTCCGCCGCGCCTGAAAGTAACACTATCAATAGAAATTTGCACTTCGTTCGCACACAAAAAAATTCTGTATTGAAAACCAGCAGCCACGACCCTTGCCCCAACAGCATGGTAGATGGCTCAAGAACGTTTCGACGTAATGAGCGACAGTGTCGAAAGGTTAGCAATGAAAATGTCTTAGAGACAGCAACAAACAAGTTGCTAGGAGCAACATGTCATTCCCGTTAACCTGCGCTATTTCCCCCATTGGTAATAGGCCGAGTAATAGGCCTAGGCGCAGATCCAGCGAAAGGTTATATCGGACTAGTCGAATTAGGCATTTTCTGCTACTAGAAACTGTATGGTGTGAGTGAAAATGGATGAGAATCATTCAAAATTAAGTATTCTAGGACCCTTTTTTTAAAAAAAGGTATCAATTATTGCTATTTTTGGCAATGAAGAACTAACTTTTCTGGCAATAATGCCCCTTTTTGGCAATGACCGGCTCAAAGGCAATAATCCAAAAGTAAGACCTTTCCAGCGGCAATAAACTGATAATTGCCAACCCAACGGCAGTTTTCATTGCAAGCCCAACGACAATGTTCTGAAAGTAAGTTAAAATTCATACACTTTTTCGTTATTTGCCTCATTTTGGCAATACATTATTGCCGACTTTTTGGCATTGAACAATCATTCCCGACTGTTTGTGTTCTCTGTCGACATTTCGGCAATGAACCCTCCATGCCGACACATTGGCAAATGACCTTCAATGACACAATGTGGCAGTGACCGAATTGCCAATACGATACCTACAAGGAAGACACACGCAGTTCTGGGACCCGAGAACAGACTCACGAAGTTCCGAGCTACGATTTCAAACTCACGTACTTCTGGACCCCTTTGGAAAGACTCAGGTAGTTCTTGGTTATAAGATAGGGACTACGTGAGTTTGTCCTCGGGATCCAGAGGTACGTGAGTTTGAAATCGCAGCTCGGAACTACGTGAGTCTGTCCTCGCCGGGCCTCAAAAGTACGTGTGTGTTCCTTGTAGGTATCGAACAACCTACAGAAAATTCACAAACTGACATCCACTCATTGCCAAAATTGGCATTTGCATGGTCTTTGCCACAATAGGTAGAACTTTCACGGCCTTTGGATGGACAGGCAGGTTTGCAACTTTCTACACTTGTTTTATCAGTGTTTAGCACTTAGGCTCAAACAGGAACAAGGAACCCGATTTCAGCGTAGCGTGGCACCTTATACAGATCGATAGAGCACCCCCATAAACATAGAGAACCAACCAATCACGGATTCTCACCTATCTTGAATATTTTCGGTTAAAATTTGGCTTGTTCGGGCTATTTATTCCAAAATCGATAAAAATTTAATGGCTTTATGGGACCTTTGTCTATTATCTATCCTATTACTGACCTGAAGTTGCATTACTTGCAATTTAAAACCCATCCGAGCAACCCCGGTAGATTTTTAGCCCGCTCTTTTGCTTAAAAGCTATAGAAGCGGGCTTATGCCATCCCCTCTGTGTTCTTCTGTCTGTCTGTCTGTCCGTTTCCCAAGCTCGAGCTAGAGGTTTGAAATTTTCAGGGTATAATTGTTGTCACTTCTGGTCAACGAAACGGTTGGTGCAAATCCTGGCAACCACCCCTGAGTGGGTCTGAGGGGGTAGCAAAGAAATAGGGGTTGGTCCAAGAAGTGGAAACAAATTATTTTTTTTTGGTCTCCCAAGGGGTAACTCGTGAAAGTAGAGCCCCTGGGCGAAAATTTCGTCCGTTTGGCTCTATCTAAAGTGGCTTAAAAATAAATATATAAATTTTAGAAAATATTTGATGGTCTCCTAAAGGGTAACTTGTGAAATTAGAGCCCTTCGGGCCAAAATTTTGTCGGTTTGGCTCTATCTCTCACTGTTTACGCGCTAGAGGGAGTTTTACCCACAAAAGTGGCTTAAAAATAAATATATTAATTTTAGAAAACATTTGATGGTTTCCTAAGGGGTAACTTGTGAAAGTAGAACCTCTTGGGCTAAAGTTTTGTCCTGTTTACTTACAAAAGGGAGTTTTTCTTACCAAACTGGCCAAAACAGAAATATTTTTACTTTTTCAGAGAAGTATGCCGTCGGTTCAAAATTTTCTTCTAAGCAGAAGAGTGGGCTTATTTTATGGTGGGACATCATTAATAAAACGTGTACACTTCCATGCAAAAAAGCAAAAATAAAAAAAAAATCACCAAAAAAACATTTATTTGTTGATTGAACACGTTCGGAGTCAATCAGAGTATGTCTGGAAGTATATTTATAACTTTTCCTAGGGCTAGTCTTATGTATCTTTTCATTGGTGTGTTATTTGATTCATAAGCTAACATCAATAACTTAGAAGGGATTTGGCATAACTTGCATGTACTCTACAAACTACGGCACACACAGCCAAAGATGTTCAGCGTATGAAAAGAATACTTCGTTTGTTGAGTTTTGATTACGAATCCTAATACCAAATCGAATGATCGGAAGACGACCATATTTGGGGCCTGCAGGTTGGTGGCTAGTGGCTAGTCACCCTGGCTGACGATACCATAAGAGATTTGGAAACAGTGCCTCGAGAGCTGACTCTGCGAGCCGTCACTCCAACGGGCCGAAGGCCCGTTTTCGGATAGAATATGTATCACACCATGAAAAGTCAGAAGGGACGGGCCGAAGGCCCGTCCCAAACGCCGCCGGCAGGCCAAGCTGGTCCCGCTCCCTGCCGAACCGAGTTGCCGGTGGAGCGAAGCGGAGCTGGCAACTTGGTTTGGCGGAAGAGCGGGTCCAGCTTGTTAATTCTTACTGAAATTAATAAAATTAAGTGAATGTTTCACAGGGTACTACAAAAATGCCCATTCGGGTATTTTTGGGGAACCGTGATATGTTGTAGAGTAAAGTCTTATGAGTCGAAAACCATCGAAAAAAAGAGTGAGCAATTTTTTTTCAGGTTTGGGCAGCTTTTGGGCTATCTTTCCTGGACTATAAGAAACACTCCCTTTTGTGAGTAAACAGTGAAAGCCAGACAGACAAAATTTTGGACCAGAGCGTTCTTTCTTCACGGTTCATCCCTTTGGAGACCATCAAATATTTCCTTAAAGTATTATATTTATTTTGGGCCACTTTTGTGAGAGAAACTCTTTCTAGCGTCTCAACGGTGATAGAGCCAAACGGACGAAAATTTCGCCCTAATGACTCTTCGACGATTTACCCCTTAGAAGACCATCAAATATTTCCTAAAATTAATATTTTTATTTTTTGGGCCACTTCTGTGAGAGAAACTCCCTCTAGCACCGAAACGGTGAGAGAAAGAGCCAAACGGACGAATTTTCTTTCTTTCCCACTTTTTCGACTAACCCTTATTTCTTTGTTACCCCCTCAGACCCACCCCCACCCAGGGGTTGTTGGATTTACACCAACCGTTTCGTTGTCCAGAAGTGACAACAATAATACCCTGAAAATTTCAGACCCCTAGCTCACGTCATTCTTGGGTAACGGACAGACGAACGGACAGACACACAGAGGCGATAGCATAAGCCCGCTTATAAAGCTTTTAAGCTAAAGAGCGGGCTAAAAATACAAAACTATTAGAACACGAAAAATCGTAAACTTGTGTTTTGCGCATGCCCCAAAGAAAACCGGGAACTTCACGGGAAAATGTTTTCTGCGTTGAATGGGATATTTATTTTTTTGTTCCAGAATCACATCGGCGGTATGGTGCATCCAACAATTAACCTTACTAAGACCGTCTCACTGCCTACGCCTGCGTCCATGATGAATGATATTAAACTCTTTTCGGAGGTACACTCATCCGCTTGTTCCACCAGGTTTGGCTTTAGGTCTTAATACGAGCAGGCCCGCCCTTTCACCAAACGGAGCTGCCAGCTTCGCTTTGCTGCGCCGACAACTCCGTTCAGCAGGGGCCGGGCCTGCTCGTCCTGCCGGCAGCGATTTTATTTCAGTCACGTGATACTTATGAACACAATCAAATAATGTGGCGAGCCTTCGGCCCGTTCAAACCCGTCGCACTGTATCAGGGACGTATATACTCGACGGCTCAGCTAAGGAAAATGTGGCTATGCCTCGGTTAGTATGTACCCTCGTTACAATTTTTTTACGGACACTTCGCTCCCGGAGCGCGTCGTTTGTACGACCCGCGTTTCTACGACCTGGCGATTTCGGACCGACCCAAAAGCATTTGTCCGACCTACATTTTGTACGACCTCATTTTGTACGACCTAATTTTCTACGACCTACTTTTTCTACCACCTACATTTTCTACTATAACTTAGTATACTCCATTAGAGGAAATCGCATTACCGGATAATATTCTATTATATAGTATATTCTTTAGATGAATAATTAGAGGAAACGATTAGTTTGTTTTTCTAGAGGATGATTTTTTGAGTGCAAGGGACCTTATTTCCATGGGAACTACCGCACATGGAAGAGGGCAAAAAATACATGGAAGGTTATCTTCCATGGGGAAATGTATCCCATGACATTCCTTGATGTCCCATGGTTCTAGAGCTGTGCGAATCGAGGTTTTTGCCTTCGAATCGAATCGAATCGAATCGAATTTCAAAAATTTTCTTCGAATCGAATCGAATCGAATTGGCTCAAAAATTTCGAATCGAATCGAATCGAATCAGTCCAAATTCGAGCCCGAATCGAATCGAAAAAAAAAATCAGTTGTATTTTTCGTATGCAAGTCACGCGGTATTTTTTAACTTATTTAAACTGGCCCCGTACCGTAGATGTTCGACGACTGTACAACGTGTAGTGCGGGCATAGAGCGGGTGCCGCACACTAGACCCCATAATGCGATTCGATGTCGAACCAACCCGATTCGAAATTTCGAATTATTCGACATCGAATCAGGCAAATTCGAAATCGAACGAATTCGAATCAGGCCGATTCGATTCGATATCGAACAATTCGCACAGCTCTACATGGTTCATGGGAACGATCATGGGATTTCTGGACTGGGGAGTATCACCTATTTATTTGAATAATCATCTTCGAACGAGCCTGTAAACTGATTGCGATGGGAATTTCGTCATGGAACGGGCTAGTGCCGGTTTCGAAGATTGTTCAGACTTTCGTTCAACTGGATTTATTGTTCATCATTATTTTATGTATACTAACTGTATTTATTCTAACGGTACTCAAAGATAATAGCAAGCAAAATAGACCTTATACCTTGCATTGCAGGTTATAAGTTTTCTCGATCTAAATATACAACCTCACTGATACTCTAATCGAATCGTTCTAGGACAGCGGACCATTGTCAACACAAGGGCCATCCAAGGTGCGAACGTTTGAGCGTAGTCCTTACCAGCCAGCCAACGACAAACGACCGTACCTCCAGTGGGAGGTCACCAGGTCAAGTAACGGCCGAACGATCCCTGCATGCAGCGGCACTTCTGCTTCGGCATCTTGCTATTATAATCAGGTAGAGTGAAAAATCACACGGTGAAAACAATGTCCGTTTTGATGGTTTTGACGGCAAATGAAGACCTTAAGGAACTCTCAGGAAACCTGCAAAGATGTTGAGGAAAAGCTTGCAAAAATTGGGGCATTCTAACTACATTTGTTGTAACAAATCTACGGCAGTCTTTTCAAACAGTCTCCTAGAGATCAAAGGGTCTCTCCCCCCCTCCCCCCCCTGTACTCTTATATATATATATATATAGCAAAGAGCAGGTACCTGCCGTTTGTCATTACACGGTACGAACAATGTCTCAGTTTTGAAGGGAAAAGGGAGGAACTATCCTGGTTTGACAAAAACTTCTCAGATTCAGAGGAAGTTTCCTTAAAAAGTGTGGGATTTTTCCATTCCTCAAAATCTGAGGCGAGATCGGAGGGCTTTTCTTCCTCAGACATAGGAATTCCTTAAATTTTCCCTTTTTCCTCAAAAAAATGAGACATTGCTTTTACCGCGTTTTTTCCGAACGGTGCATTTTTTGAAAGATTATGTTCATGGCAGACCTCTATCATGCGATAGGCCCCAACCCAGTGCGCACGGGGCTTTTGTGTCCTCGTAGGAAAAAAGCCGCCCTAGCTGCCAGGCGGAAATGCCACTTTTCTCACTTTTAACAATTTGACCACGACGCCCGTGGTAATAGCGAGCTACGTGTGTTTTCAGTAGAGTTAAACAACTGCGTGAGTTTGGACTCTATCTGGAAGAGACTCGCAGTCATGTACATTCTTTGTTCATCATTATTGTTTTAGATGAAAACTGACGTTAGATGAGCTTGACACAATTTTATTTCGATGAAAAGTGTGCCTTTTGAATGAAAACTGTTAAGATGCAATAGGATATACAAATTCAGAATAAGACAATAACTCCTCCCCCCCCCCCCCCCCCCCTGCCTCTGCTGTACGAACAACTGGAGAGGCTTTGTGGCTTGGTCGAGGGGACTGTCTATTTCTTAGCCTTGTCAGCTGTTATTGTATTTCAAATGGCACCTAGAATCGGTACATGCTACCTACACCCCACTCTCCACAGCTGTCCCTTTCGGGTATTATTCTGACATGAACATACTTGTTAGTAATAAATTTCTTTTATTTTGTTCAGGTTAAAATGACATTGGTACTGCTTCAGCCCCATAAGTATGGCTCCCTTAAATTAAACACAACGCATCCAACTGAACAGCCAGTCATCGCCCAAGCTGTTTTTACTGACAAACGAGTAAGTAAATACAGAGTTTTAGGTTGATTGATAACTCTTGGTCGACTACTTAACTCGTCTTGGAATGGCAACTGCAGTATTCTTGCATGTATTCGGTTATGCAGCGACGTCCCTGCACCTTGGACATAGTCATTTTCTACACTTAGTGCGTCGTAGAAAAAATAAGTGGTGTCTCTCAAGGACACGTACAATTGGATTAGACTGAACTTTCAGTCGACTTTGACCAGGGAAATCTCCTAAAGTTACGGAAGAGGGGGGGGGGGGGTTGTCATACACAATAGTCAGCGGTATTGTTACCTTTTTTGTACAGAGGAGAGGGCGTGTCTGGCCCAAGCCCCTCCTTTAGGAATGAGGTTCATAAAATTTGCGTATAGCAATGCGCAGTAAGTCGTTTTTCAGTTGACAGTTGTACAATTTTTGCCACACCGTCTATCATCTTCGATATACATAGACCTCAGTTATAAATACTTAGAAATCCGGAAACAATTACAAATATATTTTCTGAAGGAAATTTTGCTTTGTAATAATTTATCAGGACGTAAAGATCCACGCTAGAGGCGTTAAGGACATGGTGGAGCGTCTGCAGGGCTCGGCGGCTCTTAGTGATTCTGGCGCCGCAGTGGTGCCACCGTCGGCTGGCAGCGCCTGTTCAAAGGAGAAAGCCGGTAGCGAGGAGTACTATCAGTGCGTGCTTCTCGCCACGGGTGGCAGAACATGGAGCCACCAGTCCGGTACCTGTCCCATCGGCACTGTGCTCGACCCAAGGTTGCGCGTCAAGGGTGTGCCGGTACGTATGTTTGAAGATTAAAGAGGGTTTCAATACGACCCC